CTAGGATTGCGAAATTCAATAAAAAAATTTGCAAGGGGCCAAATATTTATTATAAATGTGGTAAATAGTATTAGGTGACACCCTTTTGTGTTTGTAACGCTTCCATGCTTGGAGTAGGTAATATGTCATCTTGAGTCTATTATAGATCTTGATCCATTATCAATGTTAGGCTCGTGCATGCATTATAAATTCTAACTTTTTTATTTGGGTTTACACTGGTGTTCGTTCATTTATTGTTATTATTTCATTATCGAGTTGTCAATCATATTTATTGTGCGCGTGTATTAAACGTATATACTGTGCAACACAAGCGCGAATCGTATAACACTCGCTAGGTGGTGGTGATGGTGGAGTCCACTAGAAGACATAAGGAGAGCAACTTGGTTTCAATTAATGGCATTTGGTGGGGTTTGATATTCCTTGAGCAAAACCCCAATAATAATAATAATAATTAGTGTTTGTGTATTGGGATGGGTTTGTAGCAAAAGAAAGAATCACACAACAGAGAAAAAAGTACAGCCCTTGTTCTGGCTAATAAAGCCATGGACCCATACATGAAAGCAAATTCTTTATCTTTAGAATGTAGAGTGTGCATTTTATCTTACCACTCTGAATGGGAATTCATGAATTTTTTCTTCTTAAAAACTCTCAAATTATGTAACCAAAAGAGAGTAACCATTCAATTGTTTTTCTTGATTTTTATCAATTTAGTGCAAGTCAATTTTTATTTAGTAAAAATTACCCTAAATTCTGCTAATAGCCACTTGACTTGTCATATTTCTTTCTTTTAAAAAATTATAAAGGGCAAAAAAGAAAAAGGAAGTAAAAAAGCAAAAACAGGAGGAGAAAAGCAAAAAAAGGTGTTCTTTTAATTTGCTTTGGTTCTTTTCTCTTTTCTTTTTTCCTCTTTTAATTTTAATGGTATAAATACACTTAGTACACCAAAACAACCTTAAAGAAAGAGGACAGATGCTAGACCTGTGACAATTTAATCGAGCATGTTCTTTACTAATAAAATAGACTGTTTCGATTCGATAAAAAAAAATGACTTGCACCAAAATCGATAGTTACGAATTAGGATACGAAAATAAAAAGAAATAAATCTTTGAATGGAGACTTAAAAATACTTTTTTAGTTGATAAGATTTGACTTATTTGCCAATGCTCAATAATTGCTTATTTTGAACTTTACTTTTTGACTTTGATCAAATAATCAAATAATGTGAGGCAATTGCACAAAGTTGGTTCAAAATAATATAGTGATTGCCTGCCAATCCCATAACCGGTTGCGGGCATATTGTTTAAGAGCAGGGGAGCAAACGTCCCCTTAAGCAGTCTTTACCTGCGACCCTCTTAAGACATGTCACATGTGATGTGACTCTTTGAGCAAAGCTATTTTTCCATCCCTTATGCAAGAAAAACTTTGCCTCGTAATTCAAACACGAGGATTAATATTCTTTGTTTGAGTTGTTAGACGGAGTCAAGTCAGGTGGTCTCAACTTATTTAGATTGAGACTTACATAGAAGTTTTAAGTTGTTTGTCATTTTTGGTTGACTCGAAACAACTTTTTTTTAGACAGATCGATGCATTCAGACTTGAGTGATCATATGTACGCTCAAATTTGGATGATTGAAAAAATGCTCAATAGTGTGGTCTTGAAGATTGAGGTCACGAGCTATAGTTTAAACTACTGAGATCGCGTTTATTTTCGTGACATGTGAACTTAAACTCGTATATGGAATTCATATAAAACTATAATATATTAGCATGTCATGCTTTGCCACTTACGAAAAACATATAATGCGACTAAAAGGGACATGTAGTACAAGATTCACCAGCACAAACAAACTTCCTATGTCACTCAATACATGGAAGAGTTGTTAATTTATATTTATGTTACATGAACAGATTCAATGACAGATTTTTATACACAGATATAGTTGGCAATTTTTCATTGGCAGTTTAAAAAAAAAATTAAACTAAAAGCTGTCAATTAAAAACTGTCAAATCAGTCTGTTGAAAAGTGGCATGTCATTGAGCCTATTCAAGCAACATTATTCATTAATTTTATTGACATTAACCATTAATATTGAAATCCTTTTTTTTTTTTTTCGACTATTTTAATTATAATTCAAAATTTGATACAAGACATCAATGTCAAGTGGTCATTGTTACTATTTTTTTTTTTATTAAAGGGGAATGACATTATAATGATTACCAATTTAACTACCATCACTCCAAAATCATGGTACATTTTAATAAATAATTTACATCACTAGATAGCTAGCACAGCCTCGTACACAAATAAATTAGTTTGTTATTGTAAATATTAAAAATATATGAATCGATCATAGACCCCAACACTTGTTCAATTAATATCTCGAAATTTTTCTGTCTAATTGGTAATTTATCCATTTTACATAAGAATAAAGCTACATGTACATTATGGTACACATAATGGTGTCCATAATGTACATGTGGCACTCCTTTATTGGGCAGAGTGCCTGTGGGCCAGGTACTCCCTCCAATAGGGGCACCACATGTACATTATGGACACCATTATATGTACTATAATGTACATGTAGCATAACCCTTTACATAAATGCTGCTATGCTCCCATGAATGGTTTGACACTTTCTCTGACTACATACTCACAATATGGGGGAGGGAAGCACTTTTGTAAATTGTAACAACTGTATCCATTGAAAGTGAAAGGTGAAAATTTTGAATTGTCTTTTCCAAAGTAACTTAAATTTTACTCCCATAAATGTTTCGATAAATACGGTACGGTTCAGGTACAAATCATGTTTGTACAATAAATAAATGAATCCAGCTTTCATGTTTTGTAATATATAGAAAAACAACAAAAAGTTTAAATCAATTTACTCTGAATATTTCTTTGCCACCAAGAAAAAATTAAGAAAATATAAAATTAAATAGATTAATTAATATTAAAACTGGATGTTTAAGCTTTAATTAAATAATATTTCCATCTATTGACGTGTCAAAACAAGTTAAAATTATTCAAAGAGAAGTAAGTTTTTTTTTCCCTAGACTTATTGGGTTTTTGTAGGACCACAAATTCCATTTGATTCATAAAGGCATTGACCAATGAACATGCATATGGGTCCTCTAGACATCAACATTGTGTTTTATTAAAAGAGGGTTACACTTTTCAAATCTTGATTAGTAGTTTAGTTGTCAAAAATTAAAATTACCTAACCCTCCTATAAGTTGTCCATGTTTCTTGATGTATTAATGCTAGAGATTAACAATTAATAATTGGGTAAATATAAAGTGCCTAGATTTTATCTTTTCTCTCTTTATTGTTAATTCAGCCGTTTCGAAATTTAAAATTTATCTAATTATTCATATTTATGCATTCTCAAACGTAAAAATTCGCACTTCCGATGAGCTCTAACTGACAAGTCCAACTCGTATTGTCTACTCTCACGTTCTTGTGTACCACCTCTTGTCAAATTTGAAATGTAGCAAGAATTGTAAGAGGTTGAATAGTCTATCATACCAGCAAGAATGTTGTTCATTAGAGATGACAATGAATCAAAATAAAGCGATGAAAAATGATTCTCTTGCATTTCAATATTCAACACATAGAAAGGACAAATCCAAAATTTACACGCATTGACAAATATGAACTTATATTTTATGCATAAAATTAAAAGATATAGCACATTAGCTTTTTGGGCATTAAGGGTGTGTGATATATTGGTGGTTGGCCTGTGTTCCTCAGCATTAAAATTGCTTTATCTAAAACTTTGCCACCCACCACAAAAATACCAAAAATAATTAAACACAAAAAATATTACAAAAAAAAAAAAGACGA